CTGATGGCTCTGACCAATGAGATATCAATCTAGGGGAGTTCATGTATGCCACTGCTAGGGCATTAACAAGGTCTGCTATGTGTGTAGACTAGACAACTAGTGTAAAATAATACACAGAAATAATGTACTTGGGAACATTTTCATAGAAAACAAAAATAACACGTGTGCGCTTATAATTCTCAACTGGTTTAAACATCCCTAGAATGAAGTGAAGGTTTCCGGCCTAAGATATAAAGTCTATAACTGTCTATACAGATGTGTGCTATTAAATATGTGCTTTTATATAGTTACTTAACCCAAAATACTCTCAAAATACTCTTTATTTTATCTTAAATTAAGAAAAAATTCCCCCTAAATTTAGGAAAAATCCTATTTTTTAACGATCAAATAAATAGTCCCAAGACTAAGATAAATCAATTCCAATATTAGAAAAATTCCCCTTTTTTTCAAAAAAGTTGTTCCCTTATTTAAGGTAAATCTCCCCATAATCTTCCAAAAAATCTCACAGTGCAGATTTTGCCTAGACTGCGGACACTTGTCAAGATGTTCCGAGGGTTTCGGTACCAAGACTTGGGACTGGGGCTAAGTCTCAGACTGAGACCTCGAGCACTGCGCACTGCGCTTCCCATGTTTGTTGCCTTTGACAAAATCGAATTAATTTTAATGCCTGTTGGCCGCTATGCTGCACATTAATTACCGAGCTTGGAGCTTCCAGCTTCTGGGTCTTCACCTCTGTCCCTCTTCCTTCCCCGCCGCCTGTGCATTTTGGCATTTTGATGCCAAAACCTGACTGGTTTATAATTCAATAAAATTTGATTAGGCATTAATTTGCAATGTCGTCTAATTAATGAGCGCAATATATGCAATGCAATGCCTCTTACCCGCCTTGGGGTTAAGGCATAAGGCCTCCCCTCTCACAACCCTCTCCTCTGCCATATTTGGTTTTGGCTCTAAGCGCGTCTAATGCCAACTTTTAAGTACGAAAAGCACGGTATTAAAAGCGCTTCCTTCTGCCGTGTGAAAGGGGGCGGGCGGACCAGAGTGGGCGTGCCACTGGAGGCGACCTACTGCAGTTTCTCTGTCTCTATCTCTCTCGTCTCTTGTCTATTCTGTTCTGTGGCATAATAGGCCAATTATTACTGCAATTTGCATTAGACCAACACAACACGGGCTAACACAGAGATATATAAAGATATACGCCGAGATGTGTAATCCACGGAGAGAGAAAAAGAGCAGAAGGAAGCTGGGGGAAATTCTTTTGAGGAGCGCGTTGTTATTATGAAACCGTTTAGAGAACGTGTTTGTGAACAGCACAGTAATTTGGTTAGATTACCAGGCTGGCGACGACGACGACGACGACCACGACGATGATGATAATGATGATGAAGATGAAGATGATGAAGGTAATGATGATGCGGATGACGTGGATGATGCAACTGCCAGGGGGAAACTGTGTATGAGGAACCCAAGAGCAACTGCAGCAGCAGCAGCAACAGCAACGCGACGAATGTGGGCCAATCTATCACCGCTCAAAGTCACACCAACAAAATATTGACTACACAAGAGTGGAGACTATACACATTGAGAAAATGTGAATACCTGGTAGTCAAAGGGTTTATTAAAATAATGCAAAGAGTTGCAAAATAACCAAGTTCAGTTTCTTATTATAAATATGTAGCATCATCCCTCCAGTCTTTCTCTCTGTGTACTTGCCAGAGATTGAGTGGCACTGGCACTGGGTCTGGCACAATCCCGTTTCGCTTGGAGCGGCAGCGTGTGAATAGAAACGTTAGCGGAGGCACGTTCTGGACGCTGCCTGATAAAAGTTGATTGCAAATTTATAGACGAGCAGATTGGCCATAAACCCATGTCCAAGCAGCGGGGCCTTGAGGAGTCGTGCTGCTGTTGCTGCTGTGGCTCGGATCTCTGTCCGAATCTCTGCATCAATATCCGCACGAGCAGCAGCTGTACCTGTCCCAGTGCCAAGTACCCAGTACCCCAGCTTCTCAGTCTCCAGCTCGCATCGATCAGAGTCAATCTCTCTGCGTCCCAGTCAATCGTCATGGCGATAAGCGCGCTGTCGTTGTCAACACGAGAACAACTTCCGCCAGTGCTCAATCATTCAAGAATCGAATATATATATATATATTCGAGCACTAAGATTCAGGAATCAAACATGGAGAATCGCTGGCCAAGAAAGTGAAACCGCCCCGTCGAAGCGGAGATTTGCTTTGACTCGCCTCTTAATTGAATTAATTAGCTTGCGCTTATGCAAATGCATTACAACTCTATAATGCATATTCTGCATAGATTCTAGATTCTGTTCAGCAGGCCATATGCGCCAAGTGTCAATATATGTTCGTCGTGAGCCAGTTCTGGCACACATACGAGATTGCCCCCCGACTCTCAGCCATTCCATTATTCTTCAAAATGCGCCGCAAGCCGCCGCCGCCGTTTGTTTCTTCACACAATCCGCAGTCCACGAGTCTGCAAGTCTCCACAATGAGCCGCAGTAGGTCCCCATAAATACCAGGCCCATGCCCTATATCGGGTCCAATGGGTCGATCACGAACTTTGTCACACGCAAGCCCTGTCCATGGGCACAGGGGATTTCGTACAGTGGGGTAAGCCAGCCCACCATTTATGGTCAGTGTTGGTAATCTTAGCTTAGAGCATTGTTTCTTTTTATTTGTATTTTTTTCAGTGTGCTAATCCATGGGGTGCCAGCATGATTTTACATGGAATCAAGGTCATCTTTCCATCTAAGGAGATGTAGATTTAGATTAAAATCAAAGCATTTCTTAAACAAAAGATAAGGTAGAGGCATAAATCAGTAAGGGGCTGGCTCTTATGTAAAGATATTGATGAAGAAATTGATCTTAAATATCTTTTATTAAACTTATTGATAATTTCGATATTAAAACCTGACTGCAACATCTTATAAAGCCTGTAACTAAGCTCTAATAAGATCTCTTAGTGTTTTGACATGTTGATAAGTTTTAATTTCATAAAAAACAAAAAACAATAAACAATAATTAAATATAAAAAAAATATCTCCACTACCCAAACCTATATCTTTCCTTCATTAAAGAGTATCTCAACTTCCATCTCTCCCTGCCGCTCTCTTTGGATATTGTTGCAGTTTGTTTGCACTCGTATTTCATTTTAGCGGCCACTAAAGACTCGGGGTAAACCGTGTGAAGGGGGTGTCTGGCAGAGGGACAGTGGCAATAGCAGGGGCGGAAGGGGAGACCCAACGCCAACACACTCCAAAGCCGCTGCCAAGTAGACCTTCAGACGCCAAACACTCCAACGCCGTCGCAGCCAACGCAGGCAGGCAGGCAGTGAGGCAGTCAGGCCAAGACAAGAGCGCATATTCATTCGGCATTCGGCATCTCGTCGTCGGCATTATTCAGCCAGTCAGAGTCAGAGTCAGTGGGACAGCTGGACAGGTGGCGAGGAGGGGTTCAGTGCTGCAGGGGCGTAGGCAAAGGGGGGGGCACACTCTTGGCAGTCGGACTGCCAAGAGACAGCTCGAGTTTTTGCAATTGCGCACTTCTGAAAGCGGTTCGAGGCGCAAATTTTTGATCCGTTTGCACCGCACACGGAGGTCGTTCCTCAGTCAGCCAGCATCTTGCATCTCCATAAATAATATATATATAGAAATATTGCCACCTTTGCCAGCAGCTCTTGGCTTTTAGCTCGCAGCTTAGAGCTCACAGCTCGTAGCTCACAGCTCATTTGCTTATTTCATTCACCTGTGCAGCTTGCTCAGCTTGTGGGCCCTCGAGTCTGCGCTCAGTCTGGCGGGATTGACACCTGACATGGTGGCGGCGGATCGAAAAGCGAATGCGGATCTGATATCCGCAGAGGCTGTACATCTTACATCCGAGATGCTAGTCAAAAAAATTCAAAAAAATTACTATAATGAGGGTTACCTCGTAGAGAAGTTACTTTATCTTTAAAATATGATTTTACCCCATTAAACATTTGATTTTTGGTTCTACATATACAAAACATTGTGTTTATATGGGATACCTAATTTAAAAGCTGAATATAATTTTCTAAAATATTATTAGACTTGCCATAGGCTTGCCTGTGAGTTGGAAATTGTTCCATTTTACTTATAATAAATATATCTTAATTTAAAATACAAATCACTATCATTTCCTCAGCTTAATAACTTCCAAGACACTTTTTAAACATTAACAATTCCCCCTTGTGATATTACCACAGCTTGCAGCCATTTGTCGTCTGTTTTTATTTACTTACTGAAGTGTGAATAATATAGTTTTCTAGTCAACCGATCTTGCTTTTTGCAATACATGTACCTTATCTGCAGGGCAGGGCCTCTCACAGCTCGTTGTAATTTATTCACTCATTCAATATGCACATGCACCTATGACCGTATCTATATAATTATATAAAGCCCGATTTGGTTCGCTTGTGGCAAAACCACTGGCCAAAGAGTAGCAGGCGTTGAGTTATTGGTGGCCCAGTGATGATTCATATACGTTCTACAATATATATATTCACTCGTCGGAATCGATTGGTAGATTTATGGCCATGTTGATAGGCAAATTTCCGTTTGCTTTGATCGAAAAATACAAGTAGAACGCCAGAACTAGCAGCACAGAATGAAGATATAGCGTGTGAATGCGAAGACACTTAATCTAGTGACAGATAATTAGCAGAGGGATAAGCAGACAAGTCACTTATCATTTGCATATGCGGCAGAGAAACTTAAAAAGCTACAATATGCCATGCATTATGCCTTAAGCGAACTACTAGTGACCTCTAAAAATAATAATCCCTATTATTAAGCAGGCTTAAGACGATGGCACGAACCAAGGGTGTATATTTTTGTTAAGAAATACATTATGTAAGATTTCTCACAATGCACAATGTGCATATAAGCATAGGAATAGGTATTATCTTGGTAAAAAGCCTGAATAGGTGTTAAATGGATACCCCCTCCCATAATTAAAAACCAAACCATAGTTGGTATAATAACTTTTATTGTATTTCAGCGTATGCATTTTGTTGCGTACAAATCGAATGTCTGGATATTGGTTAGTAATAGGTATTGCAATATCTGCAGATACGTATATGTATGTATTTATTTGTTATCGCTACTAAGTCTGCTATCAGTCTACGAATGCGTGTGTGTGTGACAATTGGTAATTGATAGATGATAATTGGTAATTGGTAGTTGGTATTCGTTAATCATAAGTCCTTCTTTGTTTAATTGTGGTTTGTCTGGGTCTAAATCAAAGGCAAGTTCCAGGAAATCAACAGATGATCACTGATGGTGATTATAACTAAAGCTAGAACTAAACCTAGGCCAGCTTCTACGACTCGGCACAACCTGCTTTTAAACTCCTATTATCTCGTTCCGAAACAACACATAATATTTAACGTAGAAATAAGCAACAACACAAGTCAGTGATCCCATCACAATCGAGCTTACAAAATAATACCCATAGATTATGCACATGCAAGTGCCCAGGACACAAGATCACATTGATCACCGATCACCTCTTCGTTTCCGTTTCCGTTTCGTTTTGGGGGGTAAAAAGTATGTGAGAGTGTGTGTGCTATATGTGTTCTTCCTACTTGGTGAATATATATATTCGGTATATAGGCAGAGGTCCTGCCTTAAGTGTTGAGGCTAATTGATTAATTGCTATCCGGCACTGGTCCAAAAGGGGATTAAATTCAATATATATATCTGGGTGGGTTCGTCAGAGACAGTCTCACGATATTAGCCAAGGTTATTAATCCATATATTTCATATCCTTGGTTATTATTTTGGTTATTTGATTGAGTTATTTTTTTGTTTTTGAGGGGAACACGACGTTGGTCTATTGGTGATTTGAATAATAATATATCAAAGCCTGCTGGTGTATCTGTATCTGGATCTGACGAACTTGAAGTGGAGCTATGGGTGGGTTATCCTTTTTGCTTAGACCCTGCGATTGCTGTGCTCCTGCTGCAGGTTTAGGTTTACATTATTCATCACCGCACTCATGTCCACCACCACAGAGTCTGTCATGGTCATGGCACACTTGCTGCTTGTCTCCAGCTCAGTTTGCCCCTCCAACAGGCCACCACCATCGTGGCTATGACCATTTGGGGTGCCAGCGGGCATGTCCTGTGGATAAAAATAAGTGATAAGAACACTTGGAAAAAATACATTTCCCACCTGATAGTTTACAGAGGCAGCATCCAAGGCCATTAGCTCCTTGCGCGACAGTTCCTCCACAATGGCGGCGGTGTAGCAGTCGCCCAGCATGTTGTTGGTAGTGCGAATTCGATCCCTTTAGGAAAACATAATCCCTTTAGGTCAAATATCCCCCTCAAGGATACCAGAAAACCCCCTTCATACTCACACAAACCAGTCCACGGCAAAGAGCAGGGTCACATCCTGAACAGGAGCATCGATGGCGGTGAGGACCACAAGGAGCAAAACCAAGGCTGCACTCGGCACACTAGCCGAACTCATGGAGGCCGCCGTGGAGGTTAGGAGCACGGTGAGCAGCTCCCCGAAGCCCAGCACCATGCCGCTCATCTGGGCAATGAAGATCGAAGCCACGGCTATGTACAAGGCAGTGCCGTCCATGTTGATGTTGCAGCCAATGGGCAGGACGAACCGGGTGATGCGAGGATCCACGCGCAGCTTCTCGTTCATGCAGCGGAAGGTTATGGGGAGAGCAGCGGCTCTGAGGGGGTTCCGGTTTGTTTTTTTTTTTGGTTGGAGAGTTGCAGAGTGTTGGAGAGTGTTGGAGAGTTGGCGAGTTGGAGAGTTGGTAGTAGTGTGGTGGTTAATTTTGGGAAGTGGAAGTGGTGTGTATTAGCGTGGCACACACCGAAAGAAAGAGAAAATACTCATTTAAGGTACTCCTACAGCAACTTGGGACCCTGATCTTAAATAGAAAGCTAGTCTAACGATTTATGGGTATATAAATCTGGACTTTGAGAGCAAGAAACTAATTTTGAAAATTTGTTAAATAAATAGTAACTTTCAGAGCAAGAAACTAACTAGATATAAATTTTATATAGTTAATCTAAAGAGCTTTTAGAGAAAGGACCTACTAAAAACTATTAAGATATTACTTAAAGTTATGTTTTTAGACTATTAAGTATTGAAAAAGGATTAGTTAGATATAATATTATTATTAAAATTAATTCACTTTCCTTTAAAAATATTAAGTTTTTTTTTTCCTAAGTCCTTAAATTCTTTATAAGATATTCCTAAATCACAGTTATTTTTTTCAGAATTATTCTATTTTCTCTACTAAATATTTAAAAATAAATAACTTATCTAAAAAACCCCTTAAATCCCCTTCCAAACGATTTAAGATTTGCTATGGAAAAACTTCAAAAATTTGTAATAAAAAAATCCCCAGAATTCCCTTCTATAAAAACGTCATAGATCTCCCCATTTTCAAGCTGCGATATACACCCAGAACTCACGTTGAGGCCGTGGCAAAGGCGGTAAGCATGGCCTGGATGAGTCCGGCGTAGAACTTGAACGGATTGCGGCGCACGACGACAAAGTAGATGGCCTGCATCACGACAAACTGGTAGAGGAACACCCCGATGGCAACCGTGATGATGAACCACATGAGCTGCGCCATCACTAGTCCCAGGTCGTCCACGCTGAGTATCTTGCCAGCGATCACGGAGCTAATGCCCACCGGCGTCAGCCACATCACACAGGTGACCATCTTCATGATCACCTCGAAAATGGCCGCAAAGAAGTCCACCACGACCTGGCCCTTCTGCCCGATGGTGCCCAGGAAGGTGCCGAAGACGAGGCAGAAGAACACAATGCCCAGGGTATTGGTGCCACTCCGATATTGGACATCGCGCACCAGGACCACATCCTCGGTTAGCTCCTCCGCCTGGCGTTGGGCCTCCACGCCGCCAGAGATTAAAGTGTCGTTCATGGTTTCGTTGAAGGCGTGCATGATGCTCGGTTTCGGTAGGTAAACTGTGTGAGCTTGCTGTATGGAGGCCTGGAATAGGTTGTCCGGAAATACGTTTCTAAAGGGGGAGTAAGAAATTATATATATTTTTTTAATTTTTTATACATATTTTCTTAGTTTTCTTACACTTTAAATAAAAGAAATTTAGAATACCGGAAATATAAAAACTGCTTTCTGTAAGCAGTGCAGCACATAAAAATTTACATGTAGAAAGCGCCTCTAAAAAGTTAAATTGCTTGACTTGAACAATTCTACAGCGATTTGCAAGCGTTTTGCGCGCGACTTTGGACTTAAAAATATTATATTTATGTTTGCTTTATAAAACAGCATTTAATAAGGTTATTAATTTAAGCAAAATAAATATTTAAACCTTAAAATAATAATTATAATAATTCTAGGAATTCTAAAAACAAAATAATCGTTAACTGCTTGCTCTATGCGATTTACTCGCGATTTACACATTGAACTGCTTGATTCAACAGGTTTTCAAGCGATTCGCAAGCGGTTTGCTAGCGCTTAAGGCGCGGTTTCGGGTTATAGTTTTTCATTTTCAGGAATTCTAATTCTATTAAATTATTCGTGATAATTGGTTTTTAATGAAAACCTAAAAATCCTTTCAAAAGTATATAGGTTTCCCCCACTCACCTGCCCAAATCCAAGAGACTATCCAATAGGTTCACCGCCCTCCTATCCGTCGAACGGTCATCGGCATTGTGCAGATCCGGATTCCCGGGATGGATAAGCAGAACCAAGGCAATTCCCAAGGCGGCATTGAAGAACGAAGTGCTGGCAAAGTAGACCAAAGTCCTCAGCGCTATCTTGCCATTCATCTTGGCATTCAAACTCGCCGAGCCGGCAATCAGACTGGATATGACCAGCGGCAGGATCATCAGCTTCAAAACGCGCATAAACAGCTCGCCGGGATAGGAGATCAGCATGATGGAGTCGCCGTGCAAGTTGAGGGGACGCAGCGAAAGGCCTGGGGAGAATGAAGAGAGAGGATATTCAAGGGGTGAGCTTTAGTTTAGTGAGTTTAGATATGGAAAGGTACTACTATATAAAATATTCCTTTTACGCATCAATTCTTTAAAATAGCAATTAATACTTGAATTTTTAAACAAAATTGTAATATAGACACACCAAAAATCGAATCTAATATTCCATAAGTCTTCCTTCTTTCCCCTATTATAATATATATCTCCCTAGGTATATACATAGAACCTGATATCAAATCCCAATATCCTCACCCCCAATACTCACCCAATATCACCCCAAGTAGCACTCCGGAGAGGGTTACCAGGAGCATGAGGTTATCGCTGAGCCACCTGCGGTAGCCGGTGAGCTCGACGGGGGCATCGCTGCACTCGGTGGTCTTCGGGGGCAGCTCAGTGGCGGTGGGGGGACCCATTTTGGCAAAGAGGTAATCTGAAAATTTCCCAGACTTTTCCATTGTCCGTCCGGTCACCCAACAGTGGGGTGACGAGGCGCGAAAAGCAGCAAAAAGGTGGCGGCGGCAACGGCGGCGACAAATTCAGTTCAAGAGAGCAAGAGAGAGAGACAGAGAGGAGCAAGCGAGACAAGGCGAGCCAGGTGAGTGAGATAGATGGACAGAGCGAGGGAGAGACAGACAGAGAGAGAGAGCTAGAGTGGCGTGTGCTTCCCCTTTTTTTGTTTCTTCCTTTTTTTGGTGTTGAGTGAAAACCGAATCCTGAATCAAGTCCTGGGATAATGCTCCTGCTTCCTCCTGGGATCGCTGGCGTGTCCAGTTATTGATTTTTTAAATACTTCACATTGAACTTGAGGATGTTGATTAGGTAGGCCATCGGAAGGCCGTTGCTCCGTCGCTCCTCCTACCGGTGCGGCGTGGTCTTCCTTTTGTTCGGCGGCTCCTGCAACTGCTGCTGCGTTCCGGCGCTGCGTCCTCGTCGTCGTTGGCGGCGTTGATGGGTTAAGGGCTCCGTTGTTGAGGCTTTGTGGGTGCTGCTGGCTCCAAACGAAATTGAAATTGAAATCGAGTGACCTTCGCACTTCGAGCGACTTGCAGTTAATCGATTTTCCAGACAGCTGCAGTCCAACCGGGGGAAACTGTGTCACAGGATGAGCTGCCTGTCTTAAAGCTCTTTTCTTGAAGTCCTTCAGAGGCCTCTTTTCCTTGGATCTCTCCGCTTTAAGGCTGTGTCCTTAGCTGCGCTTTCGTTTTCACTCAAGTGTCTGTGTACTGAAGTGTGTCCTGCTCTTGCTCCTGTTTCTGGCTCTGGTTTTTCAGCTCCTGGCTTTGACCCGTTCACTCCAAGCTTGCCACTGCGAATGTGCGGCTCTCTGGCGGGTTCGGGCTTTTATCCTAGCCGGACTTTCTCTCGCAGGAGTGCAGGAGTCGCAGGAGTCGAGTCGGTGCCATAATATCTACTCTCTCTCTCTCTCTCTGTGAGTGTCTGTTGCTTATTATGGCAGGAAAAGCCGGCAAGGGAAATGAAAACGAAATGAAAACTGAAACCGAAATGGAGGAGACAGCACGCATTGCCGCGGAGCTGATTGACGCTTTGTAATTATCATAAAGCGGAAAATTCCGCTCAGTAAACACGCAAAAATTGATTAGGCAGCAAAATGTAGAGAAATTAAATCAAGTTTTATAGTTTAAGTATTAAATTTTTAATTTAAAATGTAAGAAATATATATTTTTTGGGATAATTAGAGGGATTTTAACTAATATATAGTAAATAATCTATAGTTTTAAGAGATAAAATCAAGAAACATATTCTTTAAATATTAAGATTATTAGTTTTTAAGGGTATTTTTAATTTTTATAGAAATTTTATTTATTTCCAGCCTTTTTAAAAATAGTTAAATACTATTTCCAATCTTAAATATTGGTAAATATTTACCAAAAAAAAATCCTAAAGCCTCTATGGACTGTCTATTATTTATTTTTTTAATAAAATACATTTTTTTTAATTAATTCATATATTAAATTTTTTTTTTTTTTTTCCTCAAACACAATTCCCAATAAAACTTTCTCCTTGTGCAGCATTACTTCCTCGACCCTGTCCAGGTAATTTGATTTAATAGCGGCGCTAATCGATTTAAGTGACTTGGCAATTGCCGCTGGCTAGATGTCCTTGAGGATGGGCATGGGCCTGGGGATAGGAAAGGAGCCCCCAGGAAGACAGGACTCGGAAGACAGCTAAAGGGGTGGCCGCTAAAAGTCGCTTATCGATCCGCCAGACCGAGCAAACGCGCCTTGTTACCTGTCATTCATAAATCATGCAAGGAGAGGGGGATCCCAGGCCGCTCCCTAGAACGGCTGGTGGGCAGTGGGCCAAATCAATAGGGCAAAACTATATTTAAACCTTTTGGGCCAACACACAACAACTCAACACAACCGAGAACACAAAACAAAACGTTCTGCGTCCGCTCGGATCCGGCTGAATTCGGTTGTCATATCGGCATTCGCCTGAGAATTTCCCGCAAGCAAATACCGAGCAGATCCTCGCCGGCCGATCCGATCCCCCCAATCTATCTGTCAGATAATTAAGATAATTGCAGCGACGAGTTGCCGCTTTCCACTTTGATTTTCTATCTCAGCCAGACACTGGGAAATTTATGGCCGAACTTGCAGATGTTCGAAGCGAACTTGAACTTGACATTGGCCAGGTTTTGCTCTTAAAATATATTATATAGATATCGATGGGCTTTGTGGCTTTTCGGTTGTCACTTGGTCTATTTATTTTCTATCGCAGTTTTGCTTGGTTCTGCGGCACCTTAATTGCGGCCAAACACGAGTGATCCGAAGGTCACCCTGGACTGCATCCCTAATACTCTGACTTTTTGACTTTTAAATATAGGGAAATATAGGAGGAAATATCAAGCTAATATTTTAGGTTACACAAATATAGATATATATTTGAATATTAGTCGTACGACAAAAATGTATTTTTAGACTCTGCTCACTTTTAGGCATTTTGTAAAGACATTTCCTGAGAATGATTTATCATTTGTCGTTTGTAATTTCTAGAAAAAATTTTAATTTGAATAGTAAAATATTTAAAATGCCTTAAAATATATATTTTATGATTATTTAAGGCAATTGATAGTGAGAATTTTATTTAATATTTAATAGAATAAATTATATTCATATATATTAATTTTTAAAGTCAAAATACATATACTTTAAAGATTATTTAAATCAATTTAGAGTGAAAAATTAATAGAATATTTAATAAAATAAATTATATTCCTATATATTAATTTAAAAATTCAACTATAAAATGTTTACAGCATAAAAATAAATTAGATCTTATTAAAATAAGCAAATAAAACTCAAGACCCTCCATTAACACCCCTTAAATATTACTGAAAAAACCATATTCCACATTAATTGAAACTACAACAGCTCTATCAATGTGGAAAAACACTTGATTACCGCTCTGCTGCGTGCTGCTTGGACATATAATTCGCTGTTAATGATTATTTAATAACTATATTTAGGCTACCAACTTGTCGCCGCCGCCTTTACACCATTTGTTCTTTGGATGAGCTCACCTCGAACGATTAACCACAGATTACCCAGGATGGAGCTGGTTTGAAGGCACTTTCACCCGCGAGAATTACTGTTTTCTTTAATTTATTTCGCTCACTTGCTGCGCACTTAATTTCCTTGGCGTACACCACTGCGTATGCTTAACGTTTTGCCAATGCAGTCAATTGGAATAATTTCCGGAGCAATTTCTGCTGCCGTTGCATCAACAGTTTCAGAATGCGTTGCACCGCTGTAGCCGTTGTAGTGGATTGATTTCTACCTGTGAATACCCAGAGGTGTTGTGGTTGAGAGAGAGAGGGGTTTTTCAGGGGGTTTCTCAAGTGTTTAGTAGGGTCTTGTAAGGGTGTTTTCTGGTGACTATGTTTGCTTTTCTCTGCTTTGATCTGGTTTTGTGTTGATGGCTTCTTGAGAAAGCTTGACTTCAAGGTTTGTTTACTAGAAAAGACCACAACAATGGGGGTAAAGATGTGGCATAAGAAATATGGAAAAAATATGCGTCTAGCTTCTTGGAAAATTTTAATAAACAGGCTTTTGGGAAGCAAAATTTAAACCACAATTTATAGAAAAATTATAAAAAACCTCAAAAGTATAATTTAATATCTGTAATACTTTCTTTTTCTATATTATAAGGTAAAAGACTGGCAAATTGAATTAAATTCCCCTATATAAGGGTGGGCTTTGGTCTGAATCACCATGCGAATGGTAAACAAGAAGGGGCTTAAGTTGTTCTTCGACTGCCTGCTGTGAGACCTCCAGACCTATCTACCCACCAGTTACATGAACTGTTATGATGGAGGGCTTTTTGCAGGACGGAATACAGGAAGAAAATATACATAAACAGACGTTGTCAGTCTCAGACAATATAACAAGCTATTTATATGCATTAAATAATCAGAATTTATTACCAAAACTCATAGGTAATGCACAATAGAATGGGGATTAAATAAGGCAGCTAATGTGATATAATTTATATCATTTCCAAACTATTAAATTGATTATTTGTGTATAAATTCTTTTTATTAAACTGTTTAATGATGAAAAGTGAGGAATAAGTTTGCTGTCTCATAAAGTCTTTGAACAAAATTCAATCTCTCCTATCACCTCAACACACTCAACGCTCCACGCTCGAAACCTTCGACACGAAACCGAGAAACCGAACCGAGAACTGTGACCGGAATGCCAGGCGATCGACGGACGCTGGGCGTTTTAAAGCGCCTAAAACCGACTGAGAGTCTGGGCAAGATCCGCACGAAGATCTGAAGACGTTCCTCCTGGCTCGACAATTGCACGGAAAGTGAGCAATGAATTTAATTTAAGCAGCAACCGGGCACATTTCTTTGGCTTTGTTTCTGCCGCATTTCGTTTTCACTTTGCCGCAAGGGTTCTCTAGTTCTCTAGGTTCCCTGGGTTCCCCCAGTTCTCTGATTCTCTAGGTGCTGTTGCGCGCTAATGCGACAGCGAAAGAGCGAGAAATCGTCGTGACGCCAACGATAGTGAAAATGCGTCAAAGAAAGAACCTCCGCCTGTCTGTCGGTCTGACTGTTGTGTCTGCAAAAAGCCTATATATTAAACCCAAAGCCCTCACCTCGACCCCTTCATCGTTCTTTAAGACAGAGCACAGCCGAAAAACAAACGACAATTGTTTAATGCACTTTGACACACTTTAAATCTCTGGGAGAATTGCCTTAAACAGACACGAATGCCAAAATAAGTGAATTGATACAAAGATCAAAGAAAGAAAAGGGAGACGAATTTGAGATACTGTAGAAATATGTGGAATATTTGAAGTTGAAGTTATAGTTATAGTTGACATTAATCGATTTTGTATAAAGAAACATTTTATGAGTTTAATGAATATAAACACAAATTTAAACTTAACCAGTATTATTATTAAATGATCACTGAACCCTAATCAAGCTGTACTGCTTGATACCCATTTATTTTTACGTTCTCCCCCTGGCGCTCAATTTCAAGTAACTGATTGTTCTGTTTGTTGCCCTCAACTTGCGTGATGCTCTTGTTGTGGTTGCTGATGATATTACAAACTTAAGTGGAAAATTGCAAAGCCCGAAGGGTGCGAGAAAGCAGCGACAAGCTGAGAAAATTACGCATACGCCTCGTGGCGCTGCCAGCAGCAGCAGCAAACAAAGATGAAACACTTTTGCATATTTTCCGATTTGTCATTTTAATTAGAGCGTGCTGCAGGTGCACGGGGCATGCTTTACATATTTGCTGAAAATAATGTAAAAAATTAAAATTAGCCCATCTTGCTGGCTTCCTCAAATTATAGGCCCATTATAGGGACAATTTCCATAATACATGAGCCTGATTCCTAAGTGGCGGGGTTATTGCGTGCCGGTTGGGATCAGGGACGACGACGGTGTGGTTGTTGTAAGTGGGAGCCCCCGCTAAAGGTTGCCTTACATAAGTCGACGATAGAGCCAAAGCCGAAAGCCAATTAGGGGTCAGTAGGTGGAAAGCGCCAGCAGGAAGAGGTGGAACAGGAGACAAACACAGACAGGAGACGTCATCGCCAAGTTCTAAAAATTGCAATTTGCCGAGGGAAGAACACTGGGGAAAAAATGATGTAAAATTTAAATTAAATTTTTAAGGAATTAATAAGAAAAGTCGAGCCATCTATTAATTGATTCTCAAAATACAATAGGTATTATTATCATTTGTTGCTCTGAATATTATTAGATTTTAAAAATAGATGGTGAAACTTTGGTAAAAAGGGTGTAATAATGATTTACCGGAACAATAAGTGTCCATCTCTGTATATACCAGTTTAATCCAATCCAGTTGATTTTAAAAATACAAACTTAAAAGGTTAAGCTATTATTAAAGGTTAAGCTATTATTATTATTAATGATTTGTTGTACCTGTAGCCCCCTTAGCTATAAGTACATAAACCTAAGGGGGTTTTATAATTAATATTTTATGATAAACCCAATATGGGAGTCTTGTTTTTTTGCGTCCGTGCATCGACTGGCGGGCAAAGTCACGCGGGTCTGAGGGACGCCTGCACCTGACCCACTCAACCGCTCGGATTTGGACTCGGATTCGTGTTTTGGGTACTTCGGGCACGTTGCGAGTGGATTTCCCAGCGTTGCGCGAGGAGAGTAGATTTCGATTTCCCTGGGTTTTTCATCGACTCTCAGCGAGCAGTGCAATGACACCGCTGACGCTGAAGACAGCTGTCTTTGTTTACGACCCGTCTCTTTCTCGCGCTGAGACGGAAGAAGCGGCTGTTGCTTCGCTTTGTTTACGATGCATCCCGCTCGCACACTCTGTTGCTGTCCCGCTTGCCCACTGCCTGGCTCTCTCTTTCGCACTGCTCATGCGCCTCACGGTAATTTATGGCAGCGATTTATGGTTTTCCTTCTTATTATAGCTATCCTATAGCAGGGTTTTGTCTTTACTAAAAGAAAGCTATAAGCTATAAGCTATAAGCTTTAATTTTTGTACAGGTTGCTGGGGCAGCAACAGCTGTCCTTTGTTTACAACCGGCAAATGTGAAAGAGAAGGCTAGAGAGTGCCAGAAAGAGACGCAAGAAAGGGGAGAACAGAGAGCCAACTCGGAAAAAGTTGAAACAGGTTGAAGGCTTCGAAATTGATGCTGTTTTTCGGCTATAAAAGAAGTCCTTCCACTGCCAGCGCTCATCAGTCTGCATTTTCACACATTTCCCGGCGGCTGTGGCGGTTTATATTGTGTTCGGGTACAGTGATCACTCGCTTGAAAAGAAAAAAGCTTACAAATATGTAAAAAAAAATATAAACTATGTATTTAAAATTTGGTTCAATTCAACAATTCATTGATTTCAATAAATTAACAAGCTTAAATAAAGCCCCTATTAAAAAATTGAGTATATATTAAACTAAGTATAAATTAGCTTGAAAATCTTCAATAACTTCAAAATATGGTTTCCAAGAATAGGTTACAAATATTTTTTAAAACTCCCAGTTCTGACATTTTATCTAAAAGTTTCTACTTGCAGAAAAGATTTAATATTATAATATTTTAAACGAATTTTCCATGACTTAAAAAAATATATTTAATTTACAATTTTTAAATTGATTTAATATCACTTTTCTTTTTAATCCTTGATCCTTTATATATTTATTTATAAATTTAAAATTGATAAAAACCATCCTCATACGTGTAAAGTTCCCATAACCGAGCACTCACTGTACTCAAAAAAACGGGAAATCAAAACCCCTGAAGCTAAGTCAGAAAAACCAAAACACACGACTGTCAATCAAAGGGAAAAATCGAGTTAAAACTGCCGATCGCGAGGCAAATCGAATGAAGTTCAATTTCGATTCAGCCCAAAACAAAAAAAACACAAAGCGAATGCGGATTTACGGGAGGTTTGGTGGTCGCACAGCTTTGGGCCAGGCCAGCCTTCTGGCTAATTTAATTTGGTGAAGCGGGGAGGAGGAAAAAATGTCCAAAAACGCGGGGACCTAATCCAATTAACCGGGGCAGGAGCGAGAGCACATGCAAATTATCCGATTCTGCTCCGTTCTTAATTAACATTTAAAATGCTTCAGTTTCCTTTTTTTGTGTGAAACCTTTTTGCGCGAAAAACCACCCGCCGACCGCAGCTGTGGTGAGAGTCAGAGGAATATATGTGTATATATATCCATACTGAAAAGTTGCAGAAATGTTAAATATTTGCAACACCTGAAAAATTGAATATTTTTCATTAAAAAGTTGAAAGTTTCCCGACGGCAGCGGCGGGCTTTGTTTTGGGCTGAAATAGGGAGTGGGGTTGTGGTGAGGGGAAGAGCTTATCCAGGCTCTCAACCGCAGTCAATAAATAAACTTTGGAAAGTGCGTGAAAATGTATTTGCAGATTGAGAAAATGGTGAGCAGAGGGATGAGTGCGTGAGTGTGTGAGCTATGAGTCGTGACTAAGGAATACCTGTGAGTAAGGATCGATATAGATATAGAAAGTCTCTAAGGTATAGTATACCTTATATTATGTATAATTCTTAATATACTTAATTTATTATAATTTTAAATATTACCCAAAGGTATATAAAACCTACCTCTAGCTTAAAAAATAAAGAATAGAATGGAAAAATTAAGAATATAACATTTTAGAGTATTTTATTAAGCAATTCTATATAGTTTAATAACCTTTTTTTCATAGCATTTTGCCATGTCTTAAATATTTCTATTCAATTTTACAAAGTTTTTTAAAAGAAAATCATTTGAATAAATCCTGTAATGCTTGGAGTGTGAATTGAATTCCTTGAATACTTTTTATTTATTTTTTGTTACCGCTTTCCACTACCTTAGCTTCGTATTTGCACAACTTCTTCATCGCAGACAGCTTTCACTTCTTTTCTTGCTGGCAGGTGCTTTATATACATATATTCCTTGGGCCCAGCTTCCTTTCTAGTTTCCCAAGTCGTCGGCGGGAGGGATTCCTGTTTGCTTCTTGTTACTTCTTACCTTTCACTATTTGCCTAAGCTCTCTCTTCAGAGGCTGCTCTGTGCGTAGGACTGACTATGCTTCGATTATTAGTTATCCCGCCCAACGTTGCTTCCTCTTTAATTTCCCGTCTGCGGCGACTAAATCAATTTACAGGCTTCAGTCACAGAGTACCAGGAGGAGGAGGCGGAGTAGCTGGAGCAAACCGCGACAAGAAAATGGACGACAGCCGGTGGTGGCTGCTGGTGGTTTTAGGTGGCTCGATGGTGCTCCTACTCGTGGCTCCTCCTCTGCATACTGGCACGTGCTGTGGGCAGGCAGATGTGGGCTGCTGTGGGATGTCTGTTTAAAGCGCCATCATAATCAGCAGCCTCATCATCAGGACAGAATCCTCCTTCACCCACCTAGCCTGGTCATGTTGTGCTTTGTTAAAAGGATTTTCACGGATTTCCGTTGTAATTTGAAAAGTTTTTTGTGCAACTTTTTTCATTAGAATAAGGCGGCGGCGGGCCACGGGAACTGGGAACCGGGAACCTGAGAGACCTAAGGTAAAAGGGACGTGGGCCGTGTTAGTTTTTGAAGTGGCCTGCCACGAGCAGCCGGCGGAGAACAGGTGTTAATTGTTTTCAAGCTAATTTGCCCTGGCGATAATGAATTTCCTCTCCCTTACCCAAAAAAAAAAAGCTACAGCAAAAAAAAAGAAAGAAAATTATAATTAAATTGCTGCGAAAGCAACGCGGATTTTGGTAAAAGTTCAGACAAGTCTTTTACACGGCTAAAAAAAATTAGAAATAAATTTAAATAAGTCAATTAGGAAAGTTTAAAGAACTTTGAACTTAAAATAAGTGGTTTTTCTATGATTTAAGCTTTTTTATGTTTTTTTATCCCTCTTTTTACCTAGGAAAACTACACTGAATAATTTTAAAATATTTTTTTTATCCCATTAAATGATTTTAAATATTTTCTCAATTTTATTTCTATGATTTTTTTCACTTTAAATACTATTTTTGGCTTGTTTCTATACAAACTAACCCTAATAATTTTACTACCCTATTTCTGGCCCATTAAATTGTCAAAATATGATGATATCAACTCACACTCCGATAAAGGTTTTATTGCCGGCATTAAACCGGGTGAATCTAGATAGCCAGGCTCCTTGTAATGCCTCAAATACCAGTAAAAGTTGCCAGATTAAATAGAACAACATTAGTTTAAATAGAGATTTATGGCTCTGTATAGATATTAAGCCACCCATTCCGCTGTCTGTCTGAAATGAAAGGGATACACTTGTTACAAAACCAACTCCACAACTCCCCCTTACACCCAACACTTTCCAACTGTTGACTAAAAACTCCGAGGAACAATAAAGTTGCCAGTGTGTTCTACATTCCAGCGCAGTATCCTTCATCCCCCCGACAGTTAGTTCCTTTTGTCAACCTTGAAAAGGCGCGCAGGTGTGAAATGAGCGTGCGAAATGGAACCAGACCTACTCCTCTGGTACCCAGAACCTCTCCAGGCTCTGTCTGTGTGTGTGAGGGTGTGTGTGCGTGTGTGGGAGATAATTGAATTTCTGATTTTAAGTGCTACCAAGGCGGGAGACAGGGACATTAGGCAGAGGGTATAGGGTATAGAGAGAGAGCCTAAACAAAAGTGCAAATTTGCGCCGCAAAAGTATTCAGCACTAAATTACGCATACGCCATGTTGTGCCACGACAGTGGAAAGTGGCAAGCGGCAAGCGGCAACTGTGGCAAAAACTGGACCGGAACGTGTAAATTGTTTCGACTCGGTAGGGAAAGTCGACGGAAAAGCGACCACCACACAGCCAGCTGCGAGCTGCCAATTTGCCAAGTGTCCGCAAACAAAGCGAGACACGAACCAAACGAGACAAACGAGCGAACAACAAATAGTTGTCAGCAAATGGAAAAGGTTGGTCAAGACGACTGGGGAATACTCTTTTTTATGTCAAGGAATAGTAAAGGAACAACTTGGGGTACTGGATAATTTTGTAGAATATTTTTAAGTCGAATAAGAGTACTTTTGCAAGGTTAAACCTATTTTTGTGGCATACTTTTAGACAGAATTTCAAGAGATTTCAATTTCTGTGGTGATATTTTTCAATTCACCTTTTTCAATCTACCCAACAAACAAATACAAATATTATTCCTTCCATTCTCATTTGAATTCCTACTGCTGCTGCCCTCTTTCTTTATGATGTTTGGCTCTGTCTTTCCCAAAACAACATTTGATATTATAATACGGCTGTAGAGAGGTGTCCAATCTGCAAGCCGTATTCCGAGCACCCGCTTGAGAGAAGTCCCCGACAACTTCAAGTGGCATTGTAAAAAAGTTTTCCAGCCATCCAACCATCCCAGCCAGCTCTCTCGCTCATTTAAAATGCAAATGGAGGCCAGTCGCACAGAGGCAATCCGGATAAGGGGAGGATACCTTCCCCCGCCCACTCGATGCCAAATTAGTTTGCCAGCAAAGTGAGAGAAAGAAACATAAACAGAACACGGCCAATATATCGCCCATTTGGACTATAAATTATCCAGGCTATCGCTCTCCACCGGCGGGGAGGATGTCATGCTGTGGGGAGTCATATTCCGGATTTATTTTGGGCCTGGCATCATCGTGCTTCTTGTTTGCCTATAATCCGGCCTGAACTTTGGCCTTTCCTAGAGGATTGTTGGGTTGTAAAAGAGATGGGGGGACTGGGAGGCAGTCATCGCACCATCGCTAACTTCTTAAGTGCAGCGCAACTTTTTGACACTTGAAATTGAGTTTTGCGGTGTAATTGCATTTTATTTCGCCAACTTCAGCCGAGAGGGAACCCAAACAAAAGTCGCAATCCAATCCCATTCCCATTCCCGTTCCCCATTTCGTATTCCACGTTCCCATTCCCATTTCCCATTGCAATGCCATTGTAGAAATCCTCTTGGATGCTGTGTATCTCCCTGTCACTTAGCGCCCAACCAGGGACTCTGGGAGGAGGATAATGCAGAAGAAGCCGGCAGGGTGGAGAAGAAGGAGCTGTTTGTGCAAGGGGAAAAGGTGCCATCAAATTTGCATGGATGGCGCCGAGGAGGCTGAAGCTCAAGTCAAGTGGCGATAATCGCAATCTTTGGCTCTGCCCCGTAATGCGCCGCCACCACCCACTTTACAGCCACCCAGTCACCTTGCATGTGTCCCAGCAGTGACAGAAAAATTATGAGACTTTTTAGGGATTTTAAAAATAAATAATAAATATTAAGTAAAGGGGAATTAAAGTAGTAAAATTGTAAGGAATAACAATCTAAATTTGTAGGAAAAATGTGGCTAGATGGCAATTATTTTACAAAGGTCTTTTTTGTATTCAAGGAAATTTTCTACCCATTTGCTATAAAAAACCCAATACTTCCCCCAAATCACACCCCAATTTCTCCAAGTGCAACAGAGAATTGAATTGGATCATTTTCGCAAATGGATTGCCTGTCGCTGGCCAGGAGGAGGAAAGTAATGAAGGCGAGGGCGAGTTTGTGCAAACTGCAGTTTGGCAGCTCATAAAATCAACTTTTCGCCATTCCAGACCCGCATGCAGTAGTAGTTCCACGAAAGGGGAGGCGCCAGAAAATTAATTACAATTTTTTTGAATGGAAAACCATTGAAAGCAAGGGCGGCCGAGCCATGAGGAGGAAATGGATGAGGAGCAGCAATCAAATCAAATTATTTTTCATTGCAACTCAATAGGGGAAAATGTAAACGAAAACGAAAACGAGAAAAAGGGCAGTCGGAGAAGCGAAAAATGAAAATATACTCGGGGATATTATGCAATCGCTGAGAGCTGGGCTGAGGAAAAACCCCGGAAAATGTTCCGCAACAATGCCAAGTTGGACTGAGTTGCAGCCATAATTAAGAGTGTCCTCGCTGGCTGTCAGTTCAGGCCATTGTTTCATATCCTTCGCGGAATCCTCGAATGCGAATCGACAGCTGTCCTCCGTCTTCCGTGGCGCTTTATAAATGAATTTTTCATTAAAACACAGTTGCAAATTATTTAGTTCCACGTTTGGGCATTAATTTACATAATTTAAAGTTAAAACTTTTGCCTGCACAACAGTTTTCAATTGCCGCTTGTTGCTTGTTCCTGCCACCCGGAACTTCTCCTTCTCCAGTCTCCAAGTTTTCCTTTTTCATGAATGAATTTTTTGGCGCCTTTTTCATGGCGCAGACTCCAGAGCTGAGAGAGCTGCCGCCGGTTGAAGCCAGAGATTGATTGAAATCCTTGTTGAAATTGAAAGCACAGCAGCCTCCCATTGAACCAGGATGCCGCCTGGTTCAATCTACAAAAGCAGCGGCAGTCCTTCGGCTGCCAACAGTTGCGGTCTGGAGCTCGTCGCAGGCGTGTGTCGTTGTGTCGGGGAAAAAGTGCCCGGAAAAACCCCGAGAAAATTCGTTTGTGGAAATTGCAAAAGTAAATGAAACAAATTAAATTATGGCTTAAATTATGTCTACGCAAGAGGGCCATTTGAAAGGCCAATAAATTGTCATTTGTGTGTGCGTGCGTGTGTGCCAGTGTTTGTCTCAGAAATAGTGTGTGTGTGTGGCGTATACGCAATATTTATGAATGCAATTTCCTCGACTGAGCAGAGACAATGTTCTATATGCCCGCCCGGTATCGGTTTCGAGATTATTGTCAGCATCTGGCAGTTGGTCCTGGCTTAGAAACGGATCTGCATTGTCTGTGCTAATCCCTGTGGAAATCCCCCACAGCGATGACCCCCTCTACATTTTCCACACAGAGATATTGGCTGCATAACAAATCGCATCAGGCATTCTGACATGGCAGAGGAGTCCGTCCACTCTCCATATAACACCCTCTCAGGCATTACTGATTTTTTGCCCGTTTTTTCCAGCTGCTTGCAGTTTTACACACGAAATCAGCATTACAAATGCAGCCATAGAGCCAGAGCCAGAGTCAGAGAGCCAGCATTTTGCATAATTTATGTCAAGCATGAAAATAACAACTAAAAAGGCGGGTGGGTGGGCCACCTACCTTCTTACCCCTCTTCACCCTCGTCACACACATGGCCATAAATAAGTGCAGGTTTAAATACCACGGCAACAATTGTGAAATATGGCAGAATAATAGAAAGGACCAGCAGTAGCAACTGTAGCACTGGGACTAAATATTCATGTACACAAATGCACTTGGGGAAAAATATGCTAAAAGGAGAGAGAGAGAGATTTTAAATTAACCAGAAAAAATGTGGTAGAAATGTTGCCACAAGAAAAAAGAGGTGGCTATGAATTTTATATGCCCTTTTTTGTGGTTTTTTTGTAGGCTTTTTTGTTGAAAAATTATGAAATAAATCAAATTGCTGGAAATTATCAACTGCAATTGAAATTCTTGACATGTTTTTGCCTTAAATTAACTCTTGGTTTATGCTTTAAGTTTATTTATTTAGAATTTGTATTGAAATTTATAAGAATTGTGATATTTTTTAAGTGGAAAAAGGGTTTTAAATTGTATGAAAAAATTCAATTAATTCAAACTGAAGCTTCTGAGGTTCTTAGGTGGAAGTAACACTAATATTAAATTTTTAGTAATTCATTTTAGTAATTTGAAATTTTACTTAAATTTATTAGGTTTATAATTTTGAATTTATGTTTTAAATTCTTTAATTTTAAGTTTATTTATATTGGAAGTATAAGAAATTTTGAATTAAACTATAAAGAAAAAATTTGTTCAGGAATAATTAAGAAATTATTATTTAAATATTTAGAAATATAAGTTAAATATATTTTAAAAAATTAAAATAATAAATTTTTAAACATTTCTGCAAGAATTCCTCCTAAAAGTTTTATATCCTAATTTCTTATATTCCTAATTTTAATAAATTTAGTCTCTTAAAGCCTTAAATTACACCAAACTTGTAATTAAATATTTTTGATAACAGAATAATCAACTTTCCCTTCTTTTTAGCCTCTCAATTTCCCACAATTAACCCTTTTAAAGCCTCAAATAACACACAACTTTAAATAAAATTACCATATTTCCACTTTAAATAATTAAATTTGGCAAAAACTAAGCTGCCATTATTTATAAAAGGATAATCTGGCTTAATTGAAGGATTAATTATAATTGAAACCACATATGGGATGATGCTCTCCCTCTCTGTCTGCTTTCAAAGTTCAAATCAATCGAGAAACAAATTCAATTAAAACCCATATTCCCTAGTGTCTCTTCAGTATTTCAATAATTCAATGTTCCAAAAAGCTTAGCTGAGCGAAAAGAGAATCTGAACAGGGCCACAGACATCAAGTTTAATCAATTATTTTAAGCCAACACAACGCACACAAGTTGTTGTTGAGGATTAGTTACCCAGTTTGGCTAAGGAATTTCCATATTTTCCTTGCTTTTCCTGCCAGTGCATATGTACAAGTGTATAAAACATACAAAATATATACAAAACACATACAAAATATACACAAATATGAGTTGTAGTTACACGAGTAGCCGACAAGTCGAGCGAGAGCGAGCGGGTTAAGCGAAGGCGAAGGAGCTCGGAGACCAGGGCAAATGTCAACTGTAGATGCTGTGCTGGTGCATTGGGGGTTAAGAGGAGGGGTTAAGAGGAGCCTGAGCCCGAGCCCGGTTGCTGGAACCCCCTTTGGGGCGAAACAAAGGCACGGCACAAAAAAATGGGCCAAAAAGTTATTTTAAGCGAACAGCGAAAAGCGTGCGACAAGAATGAAAAAGCAGAAAGAAGGCACCACGAAAAGCCTGAAAGAAAAGCGTCCATAAAGAGGCTGCTGCTGGAGGGGGGGGGACTGCAAGTTGGTAATCTCGAAACAATTATGCATACGCGCGCATACAGAGGGAAAAACAGCAACAATAACCAAAACGTTCACTGGAAATCTGTGGCGCGTGAGCAGAGACAAAACGAGGGGGAAAAAAACAAGAAAGTAGCCCAAAAGCCCGCAATGAAAGCGCAAAATGTTTGGCCATTAGCATAAAAAATAATGGCCAAACACACACAACACAGCCCAACGATGGCTACTGAGCAAAATAGGGAGTATATAGGGAAGGACATTGGGGGAGAAGGGGGTCTCTGGGGCATGCCTGGCGTCCATTTCATCGAAGACTTCATCTTAATCCTTTTCCAACCAAACCAATTGGCGTGAAAATGCCTTTTCCTGAGGGGGGTTATGCACCCAATCATTTCGATTTTCCATTTGGCATTTAGGGGAAACCCTCACATAAAGAAAATTTAAGGTTTATACATTGTTTTTTATTAAATAAATATTACTCTTTGCTTAAAAAAGAACTTTATATATTTAAACAACTAATAATATTAAATAATAAACCAAAAACTTGTATGGTTTTTCATTAAATAAATACTATTTTTGCTTAGACACGCAAAGTATGTATTTTAAAGATGTATATAGCTTTTTTTTACTTCTTTTTTACAAAAATCCCATTTTATTTCGAGTGTATCTAATAGCCAAAATTCCACCGGCACATATTTCTCCATCATCATATTTTCTAATTTCATTTTGGGCATGAAATTCAACTGAAATAAATTGTTAAAAGGGGATTTTGTTAGCTTTACCACAAAATACATAATTAATTTGTATTTAAAACAACACAACCAACAAAAACAAAGCCAAAAGAAATCAATTAAACATATAATCAAGTGTTTCAATAATAAATCTGTGTGTTCAGTACCTTAAAAACCTTTCAATAAGTGACAATTAAAACAAAATCATAAAAAATATTTATAACAACAAATTAAACAAATAAAAACCAAACCAAACTCCACCATAAACTCAAAAATAAACCCAAATTAACCCTAAAATATAACCAAATTATCTTACATTCTTCTTCCGCTCCAAAAAAAAGGCTTGACTATAAAATATTGATATGAAATATTGAATGAAAATACCCACTTAACTTTGAGGAATCACAACAACCGCCATCGATCGTTACATGGTTTATCTATCGTGAGGTGTAATTTTTCTCCGTGTCACCCAATCCTGTCCTGTCAATCGGCTTCCCTTCACATTGCATACTTTTATGGCCACGTCCTTGGCAGGATAAGAGGATGAGGTGGAGTGTGTTGTGTGTGTGTGTTTGAGAGGCAAAAAAAGATACAAAATGCGAGCAAAAGTGAGGCCAATAAAAAGGCGATAAAATTGACGCCGATACAGGAGAGAGCAGGAGCAGGGACAGGAGCAGGGACAGGAGCAGGAGCAGGGACACGACCAGGAGTGAAGGAAAGGAGGAAGCGATAAGCGTATCCTGTCGGCAGAGTGCATAAAAAGGCGATATATATTCCCGTATTCCGTATTCCCAGTCCGGTGTGTCCTGTGTGTCCTCGCTGCAGCCTCCGATAGCCGGCCGATTCAAATGCCTTGCGGTGATTAATGGGCCATTGGCCATTGCCAACGGGATGCGCATAATTCACCAGGCCAGAAGATACGGCCCCTGCCAATGGCTGGCCATGGGTCTGGGCCTATTCCTGGCTTTGGCCTGGACCACGGCAGCGGCAGCTGGAGCCATGGAGTCCTCGGCAGAGCTCCAGGCTCTGGGCTACAGCGAGGCAATTAAGGTGCCAGGTGCCGTCTCAATTAGCACCGAACGACCGAAACCCGGAGCAGGAATAGGAGCAGGAGCAGCACAACAACAACAACAACATCCCCACGAGAGGCCCTTGGCCCAACGCTCCGAATGGAAGCACAAACGGACGAAAGTCAAGCGCCGTCAGCAGCGCCTCAACTCGCAGCACAGCAATCTCCCCGGGAGCAGCGCCTCCAATGCCACCTCTCATTACCATCACCACTACAGCAGCAACTACAACAATCCCTTGCCGGCCAACCTGCCGCCCCGGCAGCGCTACCTGAAGGTCAACCAGGTGTTTGAGAGCGAGCGCCGCATGTCCCCCGACGAGGTGGAGCGCAATCATGGCAAGATTGTTCTGCTCGGCCTCTTTGAGCTCTCCACGTCACGCGGACCACGGCCGGATGGCCTCAGCGAGTTGGGAGCGGCCACCATGGCCGTGGAGCACATCAACCGCAAGCGTTTGCTCCCGGGATACACCCTGGAGCTGGTCACCAATGACACGCAGGTGAGTGAGAAGAAGGGTTTGGGTTTGGGTTTGGGTTTGGGCTTGGCTAGACTCTAGCCAGCGCCGTTTGTTCCATTACGAAATTGAATTTTCATTTAGTGGCGCATGCAACATTAAAACTTAATAAGAAAAATCTGCAGCAGCGGCACAGAAGGAGCGAGACCAGCTGCGTCTGTGGAGGCCCTTAAAAAAAAAAAGAAGAAAAAGCTGAAATAAGAGGGGCAAATATGTCATCAACGTTCTCAGTCTTCAGGCGCTTTTATTGCGTTGAGTCGTTGCCGCTTTTGATGGGGCACGCAAATGTACAAAAGCACCAAAAGGCACTGAGAGAAAATAACTGAAACAAATTATACACAAAGTCCAAAGGAACCTCTTTCCCTTGGCTTTTCTTGCATAATTCCCTTAAGTTTTTGTTGGTTAGACTTCAAACTTCAACCTTTCTTAGATACAAATCTATGAATTCTTTATTAAAATTACTTATATACCACACCAATTGTTTCTCTCAGTGTTCGCGCATATGCACATCTTCTATAACAGACAGACAGTCATATCTGAAGCTGGGATCTCTGCTCCTTCTGTGTCTCTATCAAAGTCGACATTTTAAAAATGTTTATTGCGCCATATCGCCGCCTTTTTTATGGCGTCGAAACGAGTCGGTGAACAGCGGCCTTTGCCCTCTGTTTATATATATTTTTTTCCTTCTTAAACACCACCTCCTCCGCCATTGCTCATCCTTCATCCTGTGCTACTTCAGTGCGATCCTGGAGTGGGCGTGGATCGGTTTTTCCACGCCATTTACACACAGCCGTCGACGCGGATGGTGATGCTGCTGGGATCGGCCTGCTCGGAGGTCACCGAAAGCCTGGCCAAGGTGGTGCCCTACTGGAACATTGTGCAGGTGAGTCAGCCGACTGATTAAAATGCAAATACAACATCCACCTCCACTGCCACATCCTAATCGGGGCAATTTCTCAAAAATCTAATCAACTCACGTGCCACACGCTCGATTAGCATAAATGCGGGGGGAATCTTTGGAATGGAGGAGATCGGGGATCGGGGGATTGGATACTGGGTAACTGGATACTGGCACCCCATAAACCTTTGAGCCATAAACATTTCCACAGCCGCAGCAAATTATGAGGTCCACAAATTCACTTAGAAGGTTCTCTCTCCTCCATCCCCATTTAGGACATTTGCATTTAACCTTTGAAGTTTCATTTGGGGCAAAGCGTGTGTGTTGAATGGTTGGTTAGAGGCGGGGATTCCTAGGCGGAGGCATGTCTTGCATTTTAAGCGACCCCCGAAAATACCAAGAATATATATTTAGATAAATACTCCTCGAATTGAAGGTCTCCTTTGGCTCAACATCGCCGGCGCTGAGCGACAGGCGGGAGTTCCCCTACTTCTATCGGACTGTGGCCCCGGATTCTTCGCACAATCCGGCCAGGATTGCCTTCATCCGTAAGTTTGGCTGGGGCACAGTGACCACCTTCTCGCAGAACGAGGAGGTGCATTCCCTGGCGGTGAACAATCTGGTCACCGAGCTGGAGGCGGCCAACATTTCCTGTGCCGCAACCATCACCTTTGCGGCCACGGACTTTAAGGAGCAGCTGCTGCTGCTCAGGGTGAGTCAAGCCACAAGAAACATTAAACATAAAACATAAAACATTAAACATTTGTACTTAAATTGCTAAAATTAAAACGATAAACGCAAACTGCTGTATGATTTTATGGCAAAAACATTATTAATTTGGCCGCAGTTTGGTTTTTCTTTTGTTAATTGCAAAGATGGAAGAGAGAAACAAAAGTTAAAGAGCTTTTAAAACTTATTAAACTTGATTAAAAAATATTTTAAATTTTAATTTTATAAACCTAATATTTTATTAGATAATTCTACATTAAAGACAGACTATAGGTTCATATTAGAACCCATTATAGACCATCTCAGACTTCTTTAAAAACATACAAAATTCTTGTATTCCCTTTTTTGTTTTCATTTCTATTATATTTGTTATTTATATTAAAGTCTTAAATTATATTTTCCTATATTTTTCCCACCTCCCCCTTTTCCTATTTAGTTTTTCCAAAGTTTTTCCTTCTTCAAAAGACTTAGAAAAATATTGCATCATTAAGTAAAAGCAAATCGACAGCCCTGGGCTGATGATTGTTGCCTATTTTTTTTTCGAGTGTGTGGGTGGAGTGTTTCTAATCGAAGGATGACAAATGACAAATGGGCATCCTTACGTCCCTTCCAACTTTCATATCGCCACAGGAGACGGACACGCGCATCATCATAGGCAGCTTCTCGCAGGAGCTGGCACCGCAGATCCTGTGCGAGGCCTACAGGCTACGCATGTTCGGGGCGGACTATGCCTGGATTCTGCACGAGAGCATGGGTGCTCCTTGGTGGCCAGACCAGAGGACAGCCTGCTCCAACCACGAACTGCAGCTGGCTGTGGAGAATCTCATTGTGGTGTCCACGCACAACAGCATCGTGGGAAACAATGTCAGTTACAGTGGACTGGTGAGTGTTGGTGGGGTTAGGTGCACGGGGAGAAAAACTAAAGAGAAAATAATAAGCAAGAAGTATTCTTAGTGTTTTAAGTAATTAAAATCAAGAAATTAAAATTAAAGCTTAATTTTAATAGCCTTTAAATTCACTGAAACATAATTGAATCCCTCAAGGATTGTCCCTCTGTTTTCCTCTAGTTTTCTTTCCGTGTTTCTTGTAAACAGACTTTGGCTTGTCCTTGTCCTTCTCCTTGCTCCTGCCTGCCTCCTCCTCCTTCCAGAGTGAAATGATTTATTTGATTAGACAATCCCGAGGCTGCGATTGCGTTTGGCGATGGTTTCAGAGATGGCAATGGCGATGGTGATTGCCAAGTGGCAAGCCGCCGCCGCCACCGCCTAAGTCCTGCCTGTCATCGCATTCGCATTCGTCGTGGCAGACGCGCTCTTTTATGGCTCTTTTAGTGCCTGGTCATGAAATTGTGGGAATGAAATCCTGGCTGGGATGGGGACGGGGGCGGTATAGGCAATCTCATTACTGTGGCATTCCTGCGGCAATCGTGGTCTGTTTAATCGCATTTCCACTTGGCAGAACAATCACATGTTCAACTCGCAGCTGCGCAAACAGTTTGCCCAGTTCCATGGCCAGGATGTGGTCTCTGGATTGGGTTCCAGGATCAGTGCAACGCAACGTAGAAGACGTAGAAGAGGAGCTGGAGGCAGCAGCAGCAGCAGCGGCAGTGGCGGCGGTGGCGGAGGAGGAGGAGGTCACCTTTTCCCGGAGGCCATCTCGCAGTATGCTCCGCAGACCTACGATGCAGTTTGGGCCATTGCCTTGGCCCTGAGAGCCGCCGAGGAGCACTGGCGACGCAATGAGGAGAAATCGAAGCTAGATGGCTTTGATTACACGCGCAGCGACATGGCCTGGGAGTTTCTCCAGCAGCTGGGCAAGCTGCACTTCTTGGGAGTATCGGTGAGTAATTGGGGGATGTAGAAACTATTCTTGTTTTGAATTCCTCAATGTTTTGTTTCCTTTTCTCTCCCTTCCAGGGTCCCGTTTCCTTTAGCGGCCCAGATCGCGTGGGCACCACTGCCTTCTACCAAATCCAGCGCGGCATGCTGGAGCCCGTGGCCCTCTACTATCCGGCCACGGACGCCCTGGACTTCCGGTGTCCCCGCTGCCGGCCGGTGAAGTGGCACAGCGGTCAGGTGCCCATTGCCAAGCGGGTGTTCAAGCTGCGGGTGGCCACCATTGCGCCGCTGGCCTTCTACACCATTGCCACGCTCTCCAGCGTGGGAATAGCGCTGGCCATTGCCTTTCTCGCCTTCAATCTGCACTTTCGGAAGCTCAAGTAAGGACGGGAGAGGGGAGGGAAAATCAATAAGTTGTTTTTGTGGATGTTTCAACGTTTGAAAGAACTTAAAAGTTTTTAAAATATATAATTTTGAAAGGGTTATTAATTCCTCTCACTTGAGATGTATTTTTCTGACTTTATTATTATTGTTTTCATTTTTTAAATATTTTTATTACAAAAGGAAGACCTTAAATCTTTGAAAAACACAAAAAGTTAATCACTTACTACCAGTTTCTGATTTTTAATTGAACAAATCGATTGACTTCCGAGTGGTTTTCTCCCCAAGCTAATATATATAAGGATTACTTTGCACTTTCTCTGCATGGAAAAAATACAAAAAAAAAAAAACAGGAGGAGGAGGAGTATAGGTTCTCGTTCTCATGACCTTCTCCCGTCTCTCACTCCACAGAGCAATTAAACTTTCCAGCCCCAAGCTGAGCAACATCACCGCAGTGGGCTGCATCTTTGTGTACGCCACCGTCATCCTGCTGGGTTTGGACCACTCGACGCTGCCCTCGGCGGAGGACTCCTTCGCCACGGTCTGCACGGTGAGTTATCCGGTGAAGCGAAGCGAAGCTCCTTAGCCTCATCCTGCTCCTGCTCCTGCTTCTGGTCCGCCTCCTTTGTTTGACTTTGACGGGTTTCTGGTGTGTAAGCAAGCATGCATGTGTGTGTGTGTGTGTGGGAAGTCCTCATCAAATATAACTTTCAGTTTCTGGCTGGCAACTTTCGAGTCGCGTTGGTTCTCATGTGTTTGCTTTATTTATGCACCGCAAGAAAAACATTATTGTTTTTGGCTTGAAAGAGGCTTAGGGTAGGGCTTAGGGGTCCTTAAATTGTATTGTTTGTGGGGATTTGCTTTCTTTTAATAAAATATGAATTGGAAAATGTAAGAAAAGATCAGACTTGAAATTTATCGATATAAATTTGATGGATAAATCTTAATTTATTGATATATATTTTTATGAGGCACATTTTTAATTATAATTTATTAGGATTTAATAGGAATAAATATTACTCTTGACAATCACTAGCTTTTTGGCCTGAAATATTTGCATTCTTTGAATCGATTTTTATTTTTTCTTATTTTATAATAATTTATTCGAGAAATATAAGTTTAAAAACTGCATAACTTAGCCAAAAAAGCATCAAATTCAATTCAGAAAGCTTTTCTATGCTAGTTTTTTGTAGGTTAACAAAACTGCAAACTGTATTTTGAATTCTAAAAAATCAAAATTTTTTGCAATTTTTGAGAATTTTAATGATGTAACCCCTTGTAAAATTTTGAAAAAATTGCAAAAATATGTTTTTTCTCCGGACAAGGCCAGAAAGATTTGACTGTTTATGCTGATCAAGAATATATATGGTTTATAGGGTCGAAAATAACTAATTCACTAAATAAAATCATAATTCCTTTCAAGAAAACCGAAAATATATAAATTTTTTAAAGGGATATTTTCCATATTTGGTTTAATTTTATTCTACAAATCAAAGTAAAACAAAAACAAGCCAAGCTAAAGATTATTATAAGCTAAATAATATTTTTAAAAAGGCTTAAAGAACTGTTTAATATTTCATTTAGGTAAATAGCTTTATTTTATTCAAAATAAAAACATATATATATTTTTGTTGTAACAGTGTTTGCTCCTCTTGCCAAGCTCTACTGCCTCTGAACTGGGTTCTATAAATAGCCAAAGGTTTTTTGGCTGCAAATCTTGATGCTGCTGCTGTTGCTGCTGCTGTTGCTTTTTAAGCTAGAAGCCAAGTTGAGAGTTTGACGAGCTTTCCATCCAGATCTGCTGATGTTCCTGTCCCTCCCACTCCTGCTCCTGCTCTGGCACCTCCCACCAACGGCCTTAAACGCCACTCTTGGGAAATTTGCTGGTCGCTGTTGTTTCTGTACCAGTTCCTGTTCCGCTTTTCCTTGTTTCCAGTTTGTTTTTTTGTTATTGTTGAGGAGGCCCTCGGTCCTTGCCAGAGGCAAAGCAAGGGGGACGCCGGAAAATGCAAACACATGACACGGAAATTTACAATTTTGTGATATTCCTTTATTTGCATAAATTTGAAACGCACAACATACACACACGCACAGCTTCGCCTGGATTGAGGTCCATTGATGACTTGTTTTCCTTGTTTGCCAGGCCAGCCTTGTTTTCCTTGGGCCTGCCTGACATGACACTTGCCGTGTTACAAGGCTTCTCCCGCTTCCGCATCCGCTCCCAGTCCTGCTCCTCATTTAACCTCCGCCTTATCCGCTTATCATCCTAACCGCAGGCACGCGTCTATCTGCTCTCCGCTGGTTTCTCTCTGGCCTTTGGTTCGATGTTTGCCAAGACCTACAGAGTCCATAGAATCTTCACCCGAACTGGTAGCGTTTTCAAGGATAAGATGTTGCAGGACATTCAGCTGATACTGCTCGTCGGAGGCTTGCTCCTGGTGGATGCCCTACTGGTGACACTCTGGGTGGCCACCGATCCCATGGAGAGGCATCTCCACAATCTGACGCTGGAGATAAGTGCCATCGATCGCAGTGTGGTCTATCAACCTCAGGTAAGTTAAGATGTCTGCTATGAATCTGATGAAGTGAATTATGGGTAAAGAATAGGTTTAAAAAAAAATAAGAAAAAAAAAGTTTTAAAGATTAATAAATTTAAATAAAACAATTAACATTCAAATAAAATTTACAAATTAAAACTGACTAAAAATGAGATGATGAATCTTCTTCTAGTGAAAGTAGATAACTCCGATGATGATGATGTAAATTATGGGCAAAAAATAGGTTTAAAAAAAAATAAAAAAATAAATATGGCTTAATTTAAAAATTAAAGAAATTGAATAAAAAAATTAACAATTTTATTTAAAAATTTATAACTTAAAACGCAAATATGACTACAAAGAGGCATCTTCTTCTAGTGAAAGGAGGCTTCTACAGAGACAATGAAGACTCTGAAAATGATGTGATAACATTATTGGTGAAAATAGATTTTAAAGAAAATTAAAAATAAAACATAAATTAAAGTTAAAATCAGAAAACAAAAAAAAAAAAAAAAATAAAATAAAATAAAGAATTTTACCAAGATATGTAAACGCAAATAAAAAACAAAAGCAGTCACAAAATAAATAAAAATTATTTAAATAAATAAAAGATGTTCTCACTTCGAAGTCAGCTCTCTGAATGAGAAATAAATATTCTTGAAAGTCGAATGTCAACTAAAAAGCAGCAAGGCCTACTTGAGCTTAGAATTGACAGGCTTATCGATAACTCTAGAGTGCTCTATCGATATTATATCGATACTGGTTAAAACTTTTATAAAAAGAAACATATTTCACAGCCTACTTCTGGCACCTTTTTAATTGATTTAAAAATTTATTTAAAAAATGTTAAATATAATTATTTTTATTCACCAAAATTGCCATTCAGGTGGAAAATAGTTTTAATTAAATATTATTGTCGCGACAGTTATTTATTGGCTTCAATTGAGTGTTAATTGAAAATGCACAGCAATAATAAATAATAAATAATAAAGCAACACAAAAATAGAGACAAAGATTCGTTTGAATTATTTTTTTTTATATATTATTTGAAATGCTTTATTATTTATTCAATTAAATCTGATTTCGATGTGAATGCTCTATTTAATACAGTGTATTTTTGTTAGTTAAATAAAAAGCGGAATTTGGAACGCTTAAAAAAAGAAAAACAAATGTAAACAAATGGCAAACAGCGCCCGTTTGTCCGTAAAGCAAACTCAAAATAAAAATACTAAAAATTAAATATTATTTTTTATTTATTAACAAAACGTTTGCCGTTCATAATTCCTATTTTTTTCACATAAAAATTACTGAAATATTATTTAAAATAATCTCAGAGGCTGATTTTTTCAGAAATATTAATTGGGGTCATTTTCAATATTTTCTCTTCTCTCACAGGTGGAAGTATGTCGCTCGCAGCACACTCAGACCTGGCTAAGTGTCCTCTACGCCTACAAGGGCCTCCTGCTTGTGGTGGGCGTTTACATGGCCTGGGAGACACGCCACGTCAAGATCCCCGCCCTGAACGACTCGCAGTATATCGGGGTCTCTGTCTACAGTGTGGTCATCACCAGTGCCATTGTCGTTGTCCTGGCCAACCTGATTTCAGAGCGTGTGACCCTGGCCTTCATCACCATAACAGCCCTGATCCTGACCAGCACTACGGCCACGCTGTGCCTGCTCTTTATACCCAAGCTCCACGACATTTGGGCAAGAAGTGAGTTTGGGTGTTGGGATTTTTAAGTGTATTTCCTTATTTTTCTTCCTTAATCAATAAACCCTCTAAAAACCCCCTCTTAATCCCCTACTAAACTCCTCCCTCTCCCCTCCTAGACGACATCATTGATCCCGTGATCCACAGCATGGGCCTGAAAATGGAGTGCAATACACGACGCTTCGTGGTGGACGATCGCCGGGAGCTGCAGTACCGCGTGGAGGTGCAGAACAGGGTCTACAAGAAGGAGATTCAGGCCTTGGATGCGGAGATACGCAAGCTGGAGCGTCTGCTGGAGTCTGGACTGGCCACCTCCACCACGACCTCATCCTCCACCTCTCTGCTGACCGGAGGGCATCTCAAGCCAGAGCTGACGGTCACCACGCAGATTCCCTTGCCAAGTAAATCGCGAACGCCCAGCATTTCGGGCATTCTGCCCAACCTGCTGTTGTCTGTGCTGCCACCGGTGATTCCCCGGGCCAGCTGGCCCTCGGCGGAGTACATGCAGATCCCAATGCGTCGCTCGGTGACCTTTGCCTCACAGCCACAGCTGGAGGAGGCTTGCCTGCCCGCCCAGGATCTAATCAATCTTCGGCTGGCCCACCAGCAGGCCACGGAGGCCTCCAAGACGGGCCTGATCAACCGGCTGAGGGGCATCTTCTCGCGCACCACCTCCAGCAACAAGGGCTCCACGGCCAGCCTGGCCGATCAGCAGCAGCAGAAGGGCCTGAAGGCGGCCTTCAAGTCGCACATGGGTCTGTTTACCCGCCTGATTCCCTCCTCGCAGACCGCCTCCTGCAATGCCATCTACAATGCACCCATCCAGGGCAGCGGCTCCTCTGAGGTGACTCCCCTGGACTCCACACACTCGAATGGCAATCATCTGAAGCCCATTCACCGGGGCTCGCTAACTAAGAGTGGCACCCATCTGGATCACCTGACCAAGGACCCCAACTTCCTGCCCATTCCCACCATTTCGGGGGGAGAGCAGGCTTCGGTGGCTTCAGGGGACCAGCAGCAGCAACCAGGAAAGTTTGTAAAGCTGCTGGAGACCAAGGTGAACTTTCAGCTGCCCAGCAATAGGCGGCCCTCGGTGGTGCAGCCTGTGCCTAGCTTGAGGGAGCGGGTTAGGGGCTCGCCGCGCTTTCCCCATCGCATCCTGCCGCCCACCTGCAGCCTGAGTGCCCTGGCCGAATCCGAGGATCGTCCCATCGAGAGCAGTCCCTCCATAGTGGGCAGCTGCAAGTCCATACCCAGGATCTCACTGCAGCATGCCACCAGTGGCGGCACCTGGAAGTCCATGGAGACGGCGGCCAAGTCCAGGCTGTCGCTGGGGGACTCCCAGGAGGAGGAGCAGCAAGTAAAGGTTGAGGCTTTGCCACTAAACGGCCTGGATTAGGTATAGAGAGCCCTCGTAAGTCCATGTCCACGTCAAAATCCTCGTCCAAGTCCTCGTCAATTAGAAGCGAAACACCAAGCAATTATCTCCCGCCCGCCCCAGAGGAATCCCCGCCAGCAGAGCGCGTGGGCAACTGACCAATCATCAGCTTAAAGCAATCAAACGCATTAGGGTAAATCGCTAGATAAGTCACGATAGGAATGAATACCCCAACTTTCTGGTCACGCAGAAATTACACGCAGAGAAAAACCCCCGAAAGAGTAGCAATTGAATTTACAAAGTAAAGTAAGAAACTTAGAGCCAAATCATCTAGTTATTTGTGTGTTGAGTCTTTGTATTTAAATATGGGAATAGTTTTATAAAAACTAACATCAATCAGCCAGTATTCCGCTTGAAAAGATATCTTAGGAACAACTTAAAACTCTCGATGCCAAATTTAGTATTTTAGAGGTTTTTTTTTAGGAAAACGTATATTTTTTGTTGAGAGTATTGGGTTTACTTTTGGGATTTGTTATTTTATAAGTTGTATTTATTTTTTAAGAATTTTTTCTTGGCAAAAAGTAGTTCTTAAGGTAACTTTATTTATATTTCTTTATTTATATTATATTTATATTTTATAAACTATTTATTATTATTATTTTTTCTATCATAAACAAATTTTTAAGCAAGTTCCGATTAGGTTATTATTAAGTTTAAGTTATTATTATTTTATCTCCTTTAAAATCGGACTTTACTAGGATATAATCAAGGTCATTTGAACATAGTTTTAGGACCTAGTCACTTATGTCTCTCTTTCTCTCTGTGTAGAACCTCCTCTCCGCCATGTGATTGAACCCTGGATCCTAGAGACAAAAGCCCTCTCTCATGTAGGCTAAGTAGATGTTCCAGTTGCTCCCGCCAAGTTGTGATTAAACCGCTAGTCCCTAGTCCCTGAGTCCCCGAGTCCTTCCTAGGCTAAGTAGCTGCATTAGTTTGATTTCCTTTTCTCGTTGTTGTGAGGCCGCAGGACAAACTGTATCCTGCGGTGTATCTCTACAGTGTATCCCAGTGAGCAATACTAAGTAAAGTACTTAAAGTTTAGACTTTAGAAGGAGAAGGAATGTCAGAAGCAGAAGGAGTATCCCAAAAAAGGAGTCGAATCAGAACCAGAATCAGTTGTACGGTTAGAGCTGGGGGAAAGTGTATGATTAATTAACCCAAAATCATGTGTAGTAGGAGTCCAGAGATGTTAGGGCCAAAGCCAACACTTGAGAGCTGCTCAAGACTATAAGCCATAAGTTTTAGCATTGTAATCCAATTCCACTCTCACCTTCCACAACCGACCGGCTAACTTGAATAAACAGAAAAGTCTAAGCAGAAATGCCAAGCCAAGGATAATGATTAATTAATTAAAGTTGTTTTATTGAGTGGGCAACGGGAACACCACCACCACCATCACCAGACTCGCCATCGCCATCTCCTTCTCCACTTTCAGCTGCAGATACAGATACAAATGTCGGAGGCGTACCAAGAGAAATGACTTTGTACAAAGCCGTGAAATGAGTTGGCCAAGCTGAATCGTATCCGGCGGATTTTGTGCACACAAAGGAGTCTCAGGACCTGGACCCAAAACGAAACTAAATAGAGTTCGGTGATTAAGTTGACGCTGCAATTTGTTACCATAAATAAATAAATAAATCGGATGACCGAAAAACGGCGGGCGGTCTAACCTGAACCATGAGCTCCTTCGTCCTTTGTCCTTCGTTCTTCGACCTGCACTTTTGGCCCCTGTTTTGTGTGTAAATCCTCGTGAGTTTGGGTGTCGTGTGAATTTATCTTTATGCTCGTAAAACAAAAAGCACATGAAACGGAATCGGCCAAATAAACAGCGACGACAGCGATGTATCTGGGGGGAGGGATAAAAGCACTGAGAAAAATAATAGGTACTTGGGAAAACATAATATTTTTGGGTACTATTTAAAATTGTTTTACACTTCTTTAAATTGATTATAAATAAGAAGTAATTTTAGGGACTTGTATACAGAAAATGTTTTAAGAGATATTTATAATTTATTTATTTATTATTTATTTATTTTTATTTTATTTTATTTATTTATTTATTTATTTATTTTTTTATTTATTTATTTATTTATTTATATATTAAATATTTCTTTATTAATTTTTTTTATATAAATTTAATTTTTTATTTATTAATTTTTTCTCGTGCACAAAAATGAACTGTCTGAGGGGAATAGATGTGATGGCGACACTCGTTGCCAGAACGAATGAATACGCCAACATTTTTCATGGCTCCATTCAGTGGCTTCCACTTCCCCCAGTAAGCATTTCGCATTTCCCATATTCCATCTGCCCCCTTCAGCTCCGAGACTGGCGCATCAGGATTTATCCCGGCGCACTTTGTTGCCACTTTTGGTTGATGGTCGGAGGTCTGGGGTTCAGGGTCTGGGGCCTGTGGTCCATGGCCGCGGGTCGTGCTCCGCTTCCGCTCAATAAAACGGAGCTCTGGCTGCCTGTCTTTACATTTGCTTTATTACAGTTGGAGTACCTTGGCCAAGGGCTGTCACAGCGGCGAAATGTTTATTTATTGCACATATTTGCCACAGCTGCTGGCCCCCGGTCCTGGCCTCCTGCATCCCAATTCCCCACCATCAGCGCCATCAGAAGCTCTAGACCCCATCTGCCTTCCGCCGACCGACGACAACATTTTGTGGCGTCGCAAAAGTTGCGCAAATATTAATTTTAATCAAGCTAATTAATATGGTCAAGTCGGAGCTGGAGATGTACACAGAGACGGAGGCCATTCAAACGAAATGAATAACAAGAAAGGAAACTAACTTCAGCACGCCGAAGTTTGAATACCCTTGCGGTTTGTAATTGCATCACCACAATTAAAAATGTAAAAAAAAAACGGGTCGTAAAAATTGAGACAGTTGACTTCTGATTGGAAGTGGACGCCATTCCTTCGTTAGCCTTTCCAATTTATTTTATTATATTCTATAATATAAACAACTATATTTTAGATTTTAAATAATTAATATAATATAAATTATAAACAAGGTAATATAAACATTCATTAATTAACCCTTCGTTGGCCCTTCGTCCACAAGCTCAAAGAGAGTGCGGAGGACTCTCTCGCCGCTCTCCCGATTATTTCGCCGTCCTCCTGAATTCCGCAATCCTCTCTCCATTTCGCTCTCTCCACTTGCTTCGATCGGTCGAAAAACACGCGGCTCCTGTGAACACGAAGGAAAAACGGCGAAAAACGTTGAAAAACGTTCGGAAAATCGGAAAAACGTCGTCCCGTCGTGAAAACTATCCCTCCGGAGGGATCGGTAAAGGTTAATTGCGTGAAAATCCGTGTTAAAGCCGGAAAAAATCTGCGCTTGGGCTGCGCAGCCAATAAGTGCCGGTTATTGGTGTGCCAGTGCTGTTTTTTTGTAAATTAGGAAAAAATTAAAATGGAATCTCGATCTACAGAAGAATTTACAAAATGCAGAGTGAGTACAGTCATGCATTGCTTTTTTTCTATCGTGGTTAGTTTTTTGTTAGCTTTCTCTCCGTTTTCACGCATATTTGCCCATTCTCTTATGCACCGTTATTTGGCACATGCACACGCAGAGCAAAGCACAGGATATTTGTGTATGTGTTGCGGCTCACACATATCCAAATATCATTTGCCCTGCTCTCCCGCTCTCGCTCTCAATTCTTTGCTACCGCATCGGCTTATTCGTGTTACGCTTTGCATTTCTGATTCTTGCGCATGCAACAAAATGCAAAAGCAAACGAAAACCTCTCTCACGGCAGCAGATCCCAGAATACGATCCAAATTTGTGGATTGGACGTTTCTGGCGTTCTTTGCTTTGATTTCCTGGCTGTAAACTAAAACTGGAAATACATTTAACAGAGTAATTAATTTACAGATCTTTTTGACTCTTTCACTGAGTTGCAAACTTCTGATTAAAATTATAATACCCTGCAAGGGTATAAAAATGGGTACGTGGTCAGTGGCGATATCAGGATGTATTTCTAGAGGGGGCTTTGCCTTGTCTGTCAGCCATAAATTGTGGTGGGAATTAAGGGTGTGAAGATAACACAATTATATTAAAAAGAATATATATAAATTCTTTTTTTTTTAAAGACAATATCATATATTTTTAAAATTTCTTAAAGCTGAAATTCAAGAATTCAGGAATATATTTTCTTTTAAAACCAAAAAACATTTTTTAATTTTAAAACTAAACTATAAAAAGGCTTTAAAGTAGTAAAAATATTATTAAAAAGTATTTTTAAATATATTAAAGGTACTTTTCTGGGCTCATATTTACCCCTCGAATTTATTTAGTTCCAACCAGAGGTCCCTGGACCCCCCTTGAGGTCTGTTCCCTGTTGCCTTTGACTCACTGCTCATGTCCTTTTCGGCAGCATTGACAAATGGCCAGCTGGGTCCAACAGGTTGAGCCCACGCACAGCAACCACAAAATAATAATAAAAAAAAAAGGCAAAGGAAAAAAGGGCGCACAACACATTGTTGGCTCTGCTGGGGCTTCACCTCGAATGGTGTTTTTTTTTCGGGGTTTCGAAGGAGATTTTGCGGTCGGTTCATTAAAGTCCGGGAGGGTGCCTTGGGCACTAAGCCCACTTAATTAGCACCCGCTCCAAAAGGCAATTTACGCATATGCCAAAGTGCATTAAGTGAGCAGCAAAGGAGGAGCAGCAGTGGAGCCAAGGAGGAGCACCCGTGAAGGTCTCTGCGGAGCCACGCGCCAATTCCCGCTAATTATTCAGGATTATCAGCGGGGAAAGCCCCGCACTTCAATGCATATACATGGCAAATACATACACATAAATATACAACAATGCTCGAGGGTCTACAAGGATTCCCAGGCGACGATGGGGGAGAAGGAGCAGACAGCACACACACACATTCCACTTGCACTTTATTTACCTTTGGCGTAAAGCGCTCGAGTTTATGCCAGGTCCCCCTGCTCCACTCTAACTCCACTCCAAGCATCCGCGATGGTGGCCCATAAAACGGCACTAAGTTATTTTCAATCAATAAAAACAACATAAACAAAAAGCAAGCTGTAAAAAATACACTCAAGTGCGGGTGAACACAACCCAGGAAAAGCGAGAGGGAAAAAAAAGGGAAATGAAAGGAAAACCACTGTGCTCCCAATTTGCCAATAAATTTGCTTGCCATGCACTGTGCCTGTAATTCAAAAGAGGCGAGTGAGCAGCATATAACAAGTCAGGAGCAGGAGCAGGAGCAGGAACAGCAACAGAAGCAAGCCAAAGCCATTGCCGAAAATGCGAAAATGTTGGCCAGAAAGTTTTCCCTTGTACTCCTACTCCTCCTCGTGCTTGGGGCCTTTCTTTCAACTTTTCTTTCTTTATTTTGCCGGGCTACGACGTGGCTGCTGTCTGCTGTCGGGCTGTCAGCGCCTGGAAATGACAAAATATGTTCCTACACAGGTCCTGGATGATGTCGTCGCTGGTCT